CAACGTCAAAATATGTCCACTATAAGTGCATGTTTTTTTAACACAGATAGGCCCGGATTGTTAGTATAATTATCTGGCAACATAACTGAAAGGAGAAATGAACTGTTGCTGCTCCCTCTCTTTCCTCATCCGCTCTGTAATTTCAATGAGTTCTGCCTCCGTGTACGTCCGTGTATGTCCGTGTACTCTGTGTTCAAATAAATACGTGTGGTCATCAAATTCAAATGGCTCACCCAGATCCAGTTGGTCAAAATCGGGTAAAAATTCGGACATGTTTGTTGTGGCAAGTCAAAACACTCACTCAGAGAGTGAAAGTCTGGCTCTGAAATCTCACGTCTCGCGAGATTCTTCTTCTTCTTCTGTGTTTTATGGCAGTTGGTCTCACGAGAGTGACCTTACAAACGCGAGGAGTTACTCTGTTTGGAGTAGTCATGGCTGAATTTTTACCCAATTTTGACCAACTGTAAGGTCACTCCAGCGGTAACTTCCTGCAACAACTCAAATCTCGCGAAACCAACTGCTGTAAAACACCAAAGAAGAAGAAGAAGAATCTCGCGAGACGTGAGATTTCAGAGCCAGACTTTCCAGTGTTTTGACTTGCCACAACAAACATGTCTGAATTTTTACCCGATTTTGACCAACTGGATCTGGATGAGCCATTTGAATTTGATGACCAAGAGGAACATGTCCAAATCCTAAAAGGTAAACACAGACGTTCATTTCTCCTTTCCGTTATGTTGTCGGATAATTACATTAACAATCCGAGCCTATCTGTGTTAAAAAAATGCACTTTTAGTGGATGTATTCTGACGTATTTTGATGTTGTTTGACGATGTCCCAGTGCCCTATTATTTAATATAGCACATGCACGGGCTGCAGGCAGGTCAGCCCGAGCTTCATACTGGAGAAATGTCAAATATTGAACATCCTATCACTCATTTAGACAAAAGTTGATCAGAAAATAGGGCCCATGTTGAAAAAAACATTAGTTCCCCTTTAAGCCAAAATTTCACTTTCCACTCTGTCCTCCTCTGCTCTCCACAACCAGTCTTATTACTTTTTTAAGGCCCGTAATAAGTTGACTGCAGATATCTTGGGTTAGTTTCATCTCCCAAAAGACCTCTATGGTTAGGACAAGCTCCTCCTTTGTGCCTGGCTTAACGTCCTTGCGGATGAAATCTTTCATCATGTGCCATAAAAACTCGATGGGATTCACCCAGTTGATTCCCATCGGCGCAATAGTAGCAGCAGAAGCGGTATGCTTAGGATCAATGTCCTGGAAGAAGCAATGATTTGACCCAAAATGTCCTTCTTATGTATAGTGCTGCAATACCTTTGATGATACTGCTCTCAAAATAGTGTCTGTCCATGAGTCCCTCAAGGATGACCATAGGTCCTGGCCCATGTCGTGAAATTATCCCCCAGACATGGAGCTTTAAGGGATGTTTGGGTGTAGGTTTGGCAATGAAGTGATCCTTTCTCTTGAAACTAAGCCTAGCATAGTTTTGCAGAGCTACAGTTGTCTCATCCATAAACAGCACATCATCCCACCTCTCTCCAGACTCCATCCACTTCAGCGCTTGTCTTAGCCTTGCTTCTTTGTTGCGATCTTTTATCATTGGAGAGAAGTGAGTCTTTGCATATGTCCAACCAAGCTTTCTGCGGGCTCTGCGTATGGCAGTCAGGCTCAGTAAAACACCAAAATCAGCTTCAATTTTCTTTAAATCATGGGCCTTTGTCTCATCATCAATGGCAGCCAGGATATTACTGTGGGAGTCAAGAGAAGAATAATTAGTAAATGATATTTTTTTAATGTACAAACAGGAATGCATTTTATAGTTTACACCACGGAACAGAATCCTTAACTACTACACTTACTTGTGCAGTTTAATCGGATGTGAGTGGCCAGGCTGTCTCTCCTTGGAGTGATATCGCACTGTTCTTGGAGTAACTTTGATGCCTGTGTCTGCAAAATGTTGCTGAATCATCTATGTCGATTTTCCACTTGCTCGCATTTGATTAATCTGCTGGGACCTTTCTTTGTTGATGTGCATCATCTCTGCTGAATGTTGCAATCTTACCAGCGATATGGTAGTGTATAGTGTAGCCTAAGTGGGTGTGTCCGGACAAGCTATTGCGATTGGTTAATGTATGTTCCAGCTCCAGTAGCCATTAGGATTCAAGATAAACAAAAATAGGTGGTCTGTTTACAGATAAATAGAGTGCAGAATTAGCTGATGCATTATGTTTTTCGTGGATTTTTTTCACACCTTCAAGAGTGTCACTGTCAAGAATGGATGGAATGGATCCCCCCTCTTTTTATAAGTCTGGAAAACAATGTCTTAGGACAAAAGTAAGCAAACAAGGCATATATTTATACTGGATTTCAGAGTCAGCTATGATTTTGAACTCTCAGTTGTGATGTGCAGTAATGTGATTTTTAATCTTTTTTTCCTTCTAGACAAAATGCACATCTGCTGTGTCCCCGTATCAGAGGCAGCGGACATCTGCAGCACCTAGGCTGGCGCCAGTGACACCAGTCAGCATTATGTCAAGTGGGCCGGGCCCAAGCAAAATTGCTCAGTTTTTCATTTGTTATTATATAGCTTGTTATGGAGTCCGTGATTTCCCCATTTGTGTAACTGTGCTTGGATGTTGTTTTATGAGGCTCAAGTGTCTTTCAGTTGTCTCTTTGTCTTGAACGTTACTCAGCTCAGCTTTCTCTCGCATGCATGCTTCGTACTTTTCTCTGTGCTGTCTCAAGTGTTGATATATAGATAGATATAGACAGATATAGATTGGATGTGGCGACTTTAACTTTTAAACTTTTACACCGCACGTCTTTCTGTTCAACGTCGCCGTACCTGAATCCAAAGTATCGCCATGTAATAGACGTTGCGTTTTTTTCGCCACCAACTCAGCCTGCTCATGGTCGTGCTCATGTTCTTCTTCTGCGTCTGTGTTGGTCACTGCTGCACGCCGGGTGGTCACATGACCATACGTGCCGCACACACCAGAGGGGTGCAAGCAGGTTAGGTTCAGAGTCAGTTGCCATGGTGATTGACTCAGAGTTGGACTTACCTCTCTTTCTGGAACTGAAAACCCAGAGTTTCCCTCATTTCAGGGTTTAACATACTCAGAGTTTTCACTAAACCCACTTTCTGGAATACCTTCAGGAGAGGCAGTCACGTTCACAAGCACACACGTTAACATTTATTTACATTAAAGCTATAGTGCGTAACTTCTACAGGTCCGTAAAGGTCCGTTTCACCCAAGCCACTACTAGAGGAGATGACACAATGCTGATTAAGCCGATCGGCTCCTCTAACATCTCGCAGTATTTTTCAGTATCATTTTTAGTATGCGTGTCGACCGGCAACATTCCCGCGCTGGCGCACAGGAAATGCTTCCTCACAACAAGAAGAGAGGGGGAGGAAGAGCGGAGAGTGTCATAGCAAGAGGTAGAGCGCAGGTAGAAAGAGAAAGCAACATGGCAGAGAAGCGGCCGAGACATGGTTCAGAAGTGGATCCTACCACAAAGGCAAGTGTTACTCTGTGTATGGTGTGTGGCGACTGGCAAGTGTTACTCTGTGTACACGGTGTGTGGCGAGTGTTACTTTGTGTACATGGAAGTGCCGCCGACTTATTAGTTGTAATAAGGCATTATCCGCTGGGAGGCAAGAGAAGTTACGCACTATAGCTTTAAATTGCAAATTGCAGCCTTTTATGTGGTTATGTAATCGCACAGCCTGACATCGCGATTGCGATTAGATTAATCGTGCAGCACTAGATCTAGATAATCATTTCCAATATTCACAAGCTCTTTTTATCCAATGAAAGATTCTGCTTCAGTCCATATTTGTTGGCATGTAGTCTGAAAAACAACATTTTCGCTGAGGTTTAAAAAAAAATCTTCGTCTTTCGCACATTCTGTAAACGGTGTGGGGTGATCTAACAGCAATCTAACAGCACCATAAATTACATTTATATAGCCACAATAATGGTATTAT